CTCTTGGCTGCTTCCAGCTGCTCAGACTGGGGCGTGCAACCACACTTGCAAGCCTGGATGTAGCAAAGGCAATGTCAGGTCCGTGTGTGGTTTACCGCATAATTGAGTGCCCACACCCCATGGAATGAACACCTTCCTGTCACTCTCACCCCCACCTCCTCCATCAGCACAGGGCTCCACAGTGAACCCCAAAGGCAGTGGGGTGGCTGGCTTTCCTCCATCTTGCAGTCCATACTTCTCGGCCAGCCCCTCACAGTACTTCCTCTGGTGCAACCTCACACTCCCTTGTCAAGGTCCCTCTCCACATGCATCCCAAGGTAGTTACTTCACATCTCCCATCTTGGAGCACTTGAACTGCATTCCAGCATCTCCTCCACACGTTCAATCATTGCAGACGACTCAGAGAAGAGCAGGATGTCGTCCAGCGTACACCAGGAGCATGAGGAACTGCTCCTTCTCTCTGCAGCAGGAACATGCTGTGATCACACTCGCTCTTCTTGAACCCCCCAGCCAGCAGTGTCTCCTCCAGCTTGTGGTACCATGCGCGAGGAGCCTGCTTCAGGCCATAGATGGCCTTCTTGAGCCTGCCACACCCTGCCGCTCCCATCATCCAACCCCTCAGGCTGCAGCATGTACAGCTCTTCCAGAATGATTCCATTGAGGAATGCAGTGATTATGTCCATCTGCTTGATCTTCCAGCCACGGTTTGCAGCCATTGCCAACATCGTCCTCAGTGTAGTGCCTTTCCCTACAGGAGCAAAGATATCATCAAAATCCTTCCCCTTTGTCTGTTGGAACCCCTTAGCCACAAGCCTTGACTTGTAGCGGGTCAGCTCCCCATCGGGTCCGTACTTATGCCTGAAGATCAGCTTGGAAGAAATGGCCTTCTTCCCAGGTGGCAGCTCACACAGCTCCCACGTCTCATTCTCCAGCAGAGAGTCCATTACTCCTCCTTCACACTCTGCTTCCACTTCTCAGCGTCGGGCCCGCTCAATGCCTCGGCTAACGTCTTGGGCTCAGGGACGGCTGCCCAGTAGCAGTGTGCTATCTCATCCCTCATCACACTGCTCAGCCACACTCCCAGCCCGTACCACCTTTGCTTGCCAAAGCTCGGATAGGTCAGCCGGTTAGGAGGGCGCACTTCCCTCCGGGGACGGTCAGCCGGCACGCGCGGCACCTTGTGGAGCACCTTGCTCCTGCTGCTGTGGCTGCTGCTGCTGCTGCTGCGGCTGCTGCTGCTGCTGCTGCTGCTGCTCCACCTCAGGTTCTCCCCCATCCTCAGTCACCCCAGAAATCTCCTCCTCTGAGACAGTGACCTGCACTTGCCCGAAGGCCGCTGCACCTCATCAGCCTCAATGATCAGCGGTGTAGTGGGAAGCTTCTGCTGCTGCTGCTTCCACTCCTTGTAGTACAAAGGACTCAAGGAACTTCACATCCCTCGACACAGTCAGCTGCTGGCTGGTCAAGTCCCAAATCAGCCAGCCCTTGTGATCCTTTGCAAGCCCCAAGTGCACACCCCCATTCTCCCAGAAGCTTCCAGTTTTCCCCTCTTCTCCTTAGGCACATGAAACACCACCATACAGCCATAAGTTCTCAGCATGTTGACTGCAGGCACACTCCCCATACCAACTTGGTGTAGGGGACCCATTGCTTGTCCCCCACAGTCGCCAGCACCCGGTTCTTCACAACAACGACCTGCCGCAGTGCTGTCACCCAAAACGGATCCGGCAGCCCTGCACGCCCAAGGATGAGTGCGAGCACCTTCTGCAGGGTCCGGTTGAACGCTCTCAGCCAAGCCATTCTGCTGAGGGTTGTAAGGCACTGTGAGCTGAGCTGGATCCCCTTCTTCTTCAGCACCGCCTCAAAATCAGCGCCGAGAATCTCCTCCATTGTCGGTGCGGATCACCTTCACCTTATGTCCGCTCTCCCTTTGTGCTCTCGGCATCCCCTCCTTAGAACAGCCGCTGCCACCTCCCCCTTAGTCTTGAGAGGGTACACCCACACCGCACGCGTGTGGTCGTCCACAATTGTCAAGAAGTAGTCGGCTCTGCCCGAGAGAGAAAGGGCCCTCGTGGGGCCCACCACATCCATGTGCACTAGTGCAAGTGGTGCATTTGCTGGTCCTGTGCTGCTGCTGAAGGGAAACTTCGTGAATTTGGTCTCAAGGCAGGTAGGGCAGCTCCCCAATCTCCTTTGCTCCCCCCTTCACCTCTAGGCCCTTCAAGCACCCATTCCTTTACCAACTTCTGCAGCATAGGAATGTTGATGTGGCCATAGCCTCTCATGCCACGTCTCCAATCAGCCTCACCACTCCCAGCTGAAGCCTTTGCCCATGCAGCTGTCGCATCCACACCAGCAAGCATCTCACCATGTGGCTGTTGTGGCTGCTGCACCTTCTTGACTGCATCCAGGGCCCCTGCAGTTGGTGCAGTCTCCTCTCCTCCCGCAGTTGCTTTAGCCGCTGCCGCTGCCTTTGCCGTTGCTGGTGGTTTCCCCTTCCAAGGGATGATGGGCAGCTGCCATAGGTCCTTGATGCAGCTGCTCTTCTCCTCCAAGTTCCACAGCAGCAACTTCCCAAGCTTTGCACGGCAGCTGGTTGGGCCGAAGGTAACTTCAGCCTTGCTCTTCTGCAGCCGGCGCACAGGAAAGAAGGTTAGCGGACAAACCTTCAACAAACAGCACATTCCCAAGCCCCCCAAGCTCTCCATTGGCTCCCATCACCTTGGCATTCCCAACACCAATCACAGGAAGCAAAGCACCAGAAGCGGCAGCCACAAACTTGATCTTCCCAGGAGGTTTTACCTCATCAAGCAAATCTGCCCGTGGGGTCATATGACTCGTGCAACCTGAATCGATCACCCAGTGAGTGAGGGGGTTGCATCATAACCTTCCCAACTGAACCCACATCACCCCCACTCCCTTGCACATCCTCAACCATGAGGAACATCCCAGGGTCAGCTTTACCTTGTGCACCATCACCTTGTGCACCTGAACCTTGCACAGCGCCACCTCGTGCACATTCACCACTTGGCGGCTTCATGCCTGGAGGCGCCCATCCTTCAGGCCGGCTGAAACACTTGAACATGGGTTGTCCAGCCTTCTTGCAGTACCAGCACGCACCCTCCATTCGGGTGCTCCCCCTGCCACCAGAGCTTCCATGCCCCTCGTTGTAGTCACCTCGGCCTCTTCCTCTGCCAAAGCCTCTCCCACGGCCTCGGCCTCTCCCTCCCCCTCTCCCGCTGCTGCCTCCTGCAGCTCCATACCCCTCGGCAGTTTTTTGGCAGCACACCTCCAGTGTGGCGCCTGCGGAAGTCCTCCTGCAGGATCTGCTGCCGGTAGCCACTAAGGCGTCCATTTGTCCTGCTGAACGTTGAGGGTGGGGATGAGGTTGTCCCACGAGTTGTCGAGCACCGAGATGATCTTGGTGCACTGTTGCATCTACGACACTTCGCTGCCCCGCCGCTGCCATCCTCGCATAGGTGTTTTGATCTTGTCAAGGACCGGTTTCACATCATCTCCCAGCCGCATGGAGAGGGCAGCCAACTCCTTCTCCAATACGATCACCATCAGCAGCGTGTTGGGTTGAACCACGTCGCGTAGCACCTTCCACGCCTTCGGCCCCGAGTCATCGAGCTCCACCAAATCCTTGATGTGCTGGAACATGTCGTTGTTGACCGATTGGAGGATGAGGTCGTACAGCACCGCGCTCTTCTCAATCCACCGATCACGGGGCATCTCCTTCCCCCGGCATCTTCTCCTCTCCCATTGCAATTTTGAGCAGCTTGTAGCGCTTGAAGGCGCTCCGCATCCGCCCGCTCCATTCCTCATAGTTGGAGCCATCCAAAGCTTCAATCTTGGATGGTGGCGGGTTCACTCCTCTTCTCAACTGCATCTCCACTTCCTTGACTCATCTTCTCTGCTCCCAATCACAATTTCAGCTCCCCCTTTGCTGTCCACACCGAAGTCCCACAATATTTTCACAAGTGTCGGCGCCAACGAAATTTTGGCAGAGTTTCCCCTTAGCGGAAGTCACATCCAACCTCCAGAACTCCACTTAGGCACGCCCACAGGCCATGGTGGGTCTAGGAGGGTCTTCACACTTCAGTAGACTCCCCAAAAGGTCCTTAATCAGCTTTGATATCACTTGTTATAGACTAAGGATCGAGTCTGTGAAGATTAGGAGCCTAAATTTCTCAAATCGTTGGCTTGAAATTCTGGACAGAAACCGCGACTTCACAAGAAACGTTTTGTCGACAAAACGTGCACTGTTAGAATCGTATGAAACTCGAGTATGTTATAGCCCTTGTCCGTGGCTATCATTCCTCCCCAATTTGAATCGTATCAAAAGGTGGAGTAATCTCTAGTTATGCTTCTCGGCGCCACCAGGGGGTATGCTGCCACATAGAAACTTAATTCACTTACAATAGTTTCACAAGTTCTCAAGAGTTACACACAAGAGAGTTAGAGTAGCACTAACCAGGTAGGATGGGATGAGGAGGACGAGAGGGAAGGTCCCAAGAGAGTCCCAACCAAGGAAACCCCATGCCACATAATTCCCTTCTCCATAGGCAACCCCACTTTCACTTTTGTCACTTTCCCAACCTCCACAATTCACCTCAACCAACTTGGCCACACTTGCCAACCTGGTTTGGTTTCTCCCAACCAATTGGCAGCAACTATAGTAGTAGTGACGAATTTCCCAACCCCCAAAAGTCTGTACCCCATATTGAGTCACCCCACAACTCTCCATGGTCACCACAACCAAATATCAAAAGCATACGAACTCCAACGTTTGTAACTTTCTTGTTCGTGCTCCGATTGAAGTGATTCTTGGTTCGTCGGAAAGCTCTTGAGCAGTGGAGTCACTTCAGATATCTGCTCAAGCCAAATAACATTCACACACACTCAGAAAATCCAAACCACAGAAAACACAACTTTTGCGCACGCTCATTTCATACATGCAACGCACCGAACCACATGATGGAGGCAGACAGACGTGAATGCAAATGATAGCATCACATAACATCTCATACGCTCTCATTCCTCTCGGCTACTCACATACGCTCTCAATTCCCTCTCGCCCACTACTCATACGCTCTCATTCCCTCTCACCCACTCTCATACGCTCTCATTCCCTCTCACCCACACTCATGCGCTCTCATTCCCTCTCACCCACTCTCAAACGCTCTCATTGCCTCTACCCACTCTCATACACTTTCATTCCCTCTCACCCCACTCTCATACGCTCTCATTCCCTCTCACCCACTCTCATTACGCTCCTCATTCCCTCTCACCCACTCTCATACGCTCTCATTCCCTCTCACCCACACTCAACGCTCTCATTCCCTCTCACCCACTCTCATACGCTCTCATTCCCTCTCATCCACTCTCTTACGCTCTCATTTCCTCTCACCCACACTCATACGCTCTCATTCCCTCTCACCCACTATCATACGCTCTCATTCCCTCTCACCCACTCTCATACGCTATCATTCCCTCTCACCCACTCTCTATACGCTCTCATTCCCTCTCACCCACTCTCATACGCGCTCATTCCCTCTCACCCACTCCCATACGCTCTCATTCTCCCTCTCACCCACTCTCTACGCTCTCATTCCCTCTCACCCACTCTCATACGCTCTCACTTCCTCTCACCCACTCTCATGCCCTCTCATTCCCTCTCACCCACTCTCATACGCTCTCATTCCCTCTCACCCACTCTCATACGCTCTTATTCCCTCTTGCCCACTCTCATACGCTCTCATTTCCTCTCACCCACTCTCATACGCTCTCATTCCTTCTCACCCACTCTCATACGCTCTCATTCCCTCTCACCCACTCTCATACGCTCTCATTCCCTCTCACCCACTCTCATACGCTCTCATTCATCTCACCCACTCTTCTACGCTCTCATTCCCTCTCACCCACTCTCATACGCTCTCATTCCCTCTCACCCACTCTCATACGCTCTCAATCCCTCTCACACACTCTCATACGCTCTCATTCCCTCTCACCACACTCATACACACTCATTCCCTCTCACCCACTCTCATACCCTCTCATTCCCTCTCATCCACTCTCTTACGCTCTCATCCCTCTCACCCACTCTCATACGCTCTCATTCCCTCCCACCCACACTCATACGCTCTCATTCCGTCTCACCCACTCTCATACCCTCTTATTCCCACTCACCCACTTTCTTATGCTCTCATTCCCTCTCACCCACTCTCATACCCTCTCATTCCCTCTCACCCACTCTCTTACGCTCTCATTCCTCTCACCCACTCTCATACACTCTCATTCCCTCAAACCCACTCTCATACGCTCTCATTCCCTCTCACCCACTCTCATACGCTCTCATTCCCTCTCGCCCACTCTTATACGCTCTCATTCCCTCTCACCCACTCTCATACGCTCTCATTCCCTCTCACCCACTCCTCATACGCTCTCATTTCCTCTCACCAACTCTCATACGCTCTCATTCCCTCTCACCCACTCTCATACGCTCTCGATCCCTCTCACCCACTCTCATACGCTCTCATTCCCTCTCACCCACACTCATACACTCTCATTCCCTCTCACCCACTCTCATTACCCTCTCATTCCCTCTCATCCACTCTCTTACGCTCTCATTCCCTCTCACCCACTCTCATACGCTCTCATTCCATCCCACCCACACTCGTACGCTCTCATTCCCTCTCACCCACTCTCATACGCTCTCATTCACTCTCACCCACTCACATACGCTCTCATTCCCTCTCAACCACTCTCATACGCTCTTATTCCTCTTGCCACTCTCATACGCTCTCATTCCCTCTCACCCACTCTCATACGCTCTCATTCCCTCTCACCCACTCTCATACGCTCTCATTCCCTCTCACCCACTCTCATACGCTCTCATTCCCTCTCACCCACTCTCATACGCTCTCATTCCATCTCACCCACTCTTCTACGCTCTCATTCCCTCTCACCCACTCTCATACGCTCTCATTCCCTCTCACCCACTCTCATACGCTCTCAATCCCTCTCACACACTCTCATACGCTCTCATTCCCTCTCACCCACACTCATACACACTCATTCCCTCTCACCAACTCTCATACCCTCTCATTCCCTCTCATCCACTCTCTTACGCACTCATTCCCTCTCACCCACTCTCATACGCTCTCATTACCTCCCACCCACACTCATACGCTCTCATTCCCTCTCACCCACTCTCATACCCTCTCATTCCCACTCACCCACTTCTTACGCTCTCATTCCCTCTCACCCACTCTCATACCCTCTCATTCCCTCTCACCCACTCTCATACGCTCTCATTCCCTCTCACCCACTCTCATACGCTCTCATTCCCTCTTGCCCACTCTTATACGCTCTCATTCCCTCTCACCCACTCTCATACGCTCTCATTCCCTCTCACCCACTCTCATACGCTCTCATTCCCTCTCACCCACTCTCATACGCTCTCATTCCCTCTCACCCACTCTCATACGCTCTCGATCCCTCTCACCCACTCTCATACGCTCTCATTCCCTCTCACCCACACTCAAACACTCTCATTCCCTCTCACCCACTCTCATACCCTCTCATTCCCTCGCATCCACTCTCTTACGCTCTCATTCCCTCTCACCCACTCTCATACGCTCTCATTCCCTCCCACCCACACTCATACGCTCTCATTCCCTCTCACCCACTCTCATACGCTCTCATTCACTCTCACCCACTCACATACGCTCTCATTCCCTCTCACCCACTCTCATACGCTCTCATTCCCTCTCACCCACTCTCATACGCTCTCATTCCCTCTCACCCACTCTCATACGCTCTCATTCCCTCTCACCCACTCCCATACGCTCTCATTCCCTCTCACCCACTCTCATACGCTCTCATTCCCTCTCACCCACTCTCATACGCTCTCACTTCCTCTCACCCACTCTCATGCCCTCTCATTCCCTCTCACCCACTCTCATACGCTCTCATTCCCGCTCACCCACTCTCATACGCTCTTATTCCCTCTTGCCCACTCTCATACGCTCTCATTCCCTCTCACCCACTCTCATACGCTCTCATTCCCTCTCACCCACTCTCATACGCTCTCATTCCCTCTCACCCACTCTCATACGCTCTCATTCCCTCTCACCCACTCTCATACGCTCTCATTCCCTCTCACCCACTCTTCTACGCTCTCATTCCCTCTCACCCACTCTCATACGCTCTCATTCCCTCTCACCCACTCTCATACGCTCTCATTCCCTCTCATCCACTCTTACGCTCTCATTCCCTCTCACCCACACTCATACGCTCTCATTCCCTCTCACCCACTCTCATACGCTCTCATTCCCTCTCACCCACTCCCATACGCTCTCATTCCCTCTCACCCACTCTCATACGCTCTCATTCCCTCTCACCCACTCTCATACGCTCTCAATTCCTCTCACCCACTCTCATGCCCTCTCATTCCCTCTCACCCACTCTCATACGCTCTCATTCCCTCTCACCCACTCTCATACGCTCTTATTCCCTCTCACCCACTCTCATACGCTCTCATTCCCTCTCACCCACTCTCATACGCTCTCATTCCCTCTCACCCACTCTCATACGCTCTCATTCCCTCTCACCCACTCTCATACGCTCTCATTCCCTCTCACCCACTCTCATACGCTCTCATTCCCTCTCACACACTCTCATACGCTCTCATTCCCTCTCACCCACCCTCATACACTCTCATTCCCTCTCACCCACTCTCATATCCTCTCATTCCCTCTCATACACTCTCTTACGCTCTCATTCCCTCTCACCCACTCTCATACGCTCTCATTCCCTCCCACCCACTCTCATACGCTCTCATTCCCTCTCACCCACTCTCATACCCTCTCATTCCCACTCACCCACTCTCTTACGCTCTCATTCCCTCTCACCCACTCTCATACCCTCTCATTCCCTCTCACCCACTCTCATACGCTCTCATTCCCTCTCACCCACTCTCATACACTCTCATTCCCTCAAACCCACTCTCATACGCTCTCATTCCCTCTCACCCACTCTCATACGCTCTCATTCCCTCTCTCCCACTCTTATACGCTCTCATTCCCTCTCACCCACTCTCATACGCTCTCATTCCCTCTCACCCACTCTCATACGCTCTCATTCCCTCTCACCCACTCTCATACGCTCTCATTCCCTCTCACCCACTCTCATACACTCACATTCCTTCTCACCCACTCTCATACCCTCTCATTCCCTCTCATCCACTCTCTTACGCTCTCATTCACTCTCACTCACTTTCATACGCTCTCATTCCCTCTCACCCACACTCATACGCTCTCATTCCCTCTCACCCACTCTCATACGCTCTCATTCACTCTCACCCTCTTCTCATACGCTCTCATTCCCTCTCACCCACTCTCATACGCTCTCATTCCCTCTCACCCACTCTCATACGCTCTCATTCCTCTCACCCACTCTCATACGCTCTCATTCCCTCTCATCCACTCTCATACGCTCTCATTCCCTCCCACCCACACTCATACGCTCTCATTCCCTCTCACCCACTCTCATACGCTGTCATTCCCTCTCACCCACTCTCTTACGCTCTCATTCCCTCTAACCCACTCTCATACACTCTCATTCCCTCTCACCCACTCTCATACGCTCTCATTCCCTCTCACCCACTCTCATACGCTCTCATTCCCTCTCACCCACTCTCATACGCTCTCATTCCCTCTCACCCACTCTCATACGCTCTCATTCCATCTCACCCACTCTTCTACGCTCTCATTCCCTCTCACCCACTCTCATACGCTCTCATTCCCTCTCACCCACTCTCATACGCTCTCATTCCCTCTCACACACTCTCATACGCTCTCATTCCCTCTCACCCACACTCATACACACTCATTCCCTCTCACCCACTCTCATACCCTCTCATTCCCTCTCATCCACTCTCTTACGCTCTCATCCCTCTCACCCACTCTCATACGCTCTCATTCCCTCCCACCCACACTCATACGCTCTCATTCCGTCTCACCCACTCTCATACCCTCTTATTCCCACTCACCCACTTCATATGCTCTCATTCCCTCTCACCCACTCTCATACCTCTCATTCCCTCTCACCCACTCTCTTACGCTCTCATTCCCTCTCACCCACTCTCATACACTCTCATTCCCTCAAACCCACTCTCATACGCTCTCATTCCCTCTCACCCACTCTCATACGCTCTCATTCCCTCTCGCCCAGTCTCTATACGCTCTCATTCCCTCTCACCCACTCTCATACGCTCTCATTCCCTCTCACCCACTCTCATACGCTCTCATTCCCTCTCACCAACTCTCATACGCTCTCATTCCCTCTCACCCACTCTCATACGCTCTCGATCCCTCTCACCCACTCTCATACGCTCTCATTCCCTCTCACCCACACTCATACACTCTCATTCCCTCTCACCCACTCTCATACGCTCTCATTCCCTCTCACCCACTCTCATACGCTCTTATTCCCTCTGCCCACTCTCATACGCTCTCATTCCCTCTCACCCACTCTCATACGCTCTCATTCCCTCTCACCCACTCTCATACGCTCTCATTCCCTCTCACCCACTCTCATACGCTCTCATTCCCTCTCACCCACTCTCATACGCTCTCATTCCCTCTCACCCACTCTTCTACGCTCTCATTCCCTCTCACCCACTCTCATACGCTCTCATTCCCTCTCACCCACTCTCATACGCTCTCATCCCTCTCACACACTCTCATACGCTCTCATTCCCTCTCACCCACACTCATACACACTCATTCCCTCTCACCAACTCTCATACCCTCTCATTCCCTCTCATCCACTCTCTACGCACTCATTCCCTCTCACCCACTCTCATACGCTCTCATTACCTCCCACCCACACTCATACGCTCTCATTCCCTCTCACCCACTCTCATACCCTCTCATTCCCACTCACCCACTTTCTTACGCTCTCATTCCCTCTCACCCACTCTCATACCCTCTCATTCCTCTCACCCACTCTCATACGCTCTCATTCCCTCTCACCCACTCTCATACGCTCTCATTCCCTCTCGCCCACTCTTATACGCTCTCATTCCCTCTCACCCACTCTCATACGCTCTCATTCCCTCTCACCCACTCTCATACGCTCTCATTCCCTCTCACCCACTCTCATACGCTCTCATTCCCTCTCACCCACTCTCATACGCTCTCGATCCCTCTCACCCACTCTCATACGCTCTCATTCCCTCTCACCCACACTCATACACTCTCATTCCCTCTCACCCACTCTCATACCCTCTCATTCCCTCGCATCCACTCTCTTACGCTCTCATTCCCTCTCACCCACTCTCATACGCTTTCATTCCCTCCCACCCACACTCATACGCTCTCATTCCCTCTCACCCACTCTCATACGCTCTCATTCACTCTCACCCACTCACATACGCTCTCATTCCCTCTCACCCACTCTCATACGCTCTCATTCCTCTCACCCACTCTCATACGCTCTCATTCCCTCTCACCCACTCTCATACGCTCTCATTCCCTCTCACCCACTCCCATACGCTCTCATTCCCTCTCACCCACTCTCATACGCTCTCATTCCCTCTCACCCACTCTCATACGCTCTCACTTCCTCTCACCCACTCTCATACCTCTCATTCCCTCTCACCCACTCTCATACGCTCTCATTCCCGCTCACCCACTCTCATACGCTCTTTTTCCCTCTTGCCCACTCTCATACGCTCTCATTCCCTCTCACCCACTCTCATACGCTCTCATTCCCTCTCACCCACTCTCATACGCTCTCATTCCCTCTCACCCACTCTCATACGCTCTCATTCCCTCTCACCCACTCTCATACGCTCTCATTCCATCTCACCCACACTTCTACGCTCTCATTCCCTCTCACCCACTCTCATACGCTCTCATTCCCTCTCACCCACTCTCATACGCTCTCATTCCCTCTCATCCACTCTCTTACGCTCTCATTCCCTCTCACCCACACTCATACGCTCTCATTCCCTCTCACCCACTCTCATACGCTCTCATTCCCTCTCACCCACTCCCATACGCTCTCATTCCCTCTCACCCACTCTCATACGCTCTCATTCCCTCTCACCCACTCTCATACGCTCTCATTCCTCTCACCCACTCTCATACGCTCTCATTCCCTCTCACCCACTCTCATACGCTCTCATTCCCTCTCACCCACTCTCATACGCTCTCATTCCTCTCACCCACTCTCATACGCTCTCATTCCCTCTCACCCACTCTCATACGCTCTCATTCCCTCTCACCCACTCTCATACGCTCTCATTCCCTCTCACCCACTCTCATACGCTCTCATTCCCTCTCACCCACTCTCATACGCTCTCATTCCCTCTCACCCACTCTCATACGCTCTCATTCCCTCTCACCCACCTCATACGCTCTCATTCCCTCTCACCCACTCTCATACGCTCTCATTCCCTCTCACCCACTCTTTACGCTCTCATTCCCTCTCACCCACTCTCATACGCTCTCATTCCCTCCACCCACTCTCATACGCTCTCATTCCCTCTCACCACTCTCATACGCTCTCATTCCCTCTCACCCACTCTCATACGCTCTCATTCCCTCTCACCCACTCTCATACGCTCTCATTCCCTCTCACCCACTCTCATACGCTCTCATTCCCTCTCACCCACTCTCATACGCTCTCATTCCCTCTCACCCACTCTCATACGCTCTCATTCCCTCTCACCCACTCTCATACGCTCTCATTCCCTCTCACCCACTCTCATACGCTCTCATTCCCTCTCACCCACTCTCATACGCTCTCATTCCCTCTCACCCACTCTCATACGCTCTCATTCCCTCTCACCCACTCTCATACGCTCTCATTCCCTCTCACCCACTCTCATACGCTCTCATTCCTCTCACCCACTCTCATACGCTCTCATTCCCTCTCACCCACTCTCATACGCTCTCATTCCCTCTCACCCACTCTCATACGCTCTCATTCCCTCTCACCCACTCTCATACGCTCTCATTCCCTCTCACCCACTCTCATACGCTCTCATTCCCTCTCACCCACTCTCATACGCTCTCATTCCCTCTCACCCACTCTCATACGCTCTCAATCCCTCTCACCCACTCTCATACGCTCTCATTCCCTCTCACCCACTCTCATACGCTCTCATTCCTCTCACCCACTCTCATACGCTCTCATTCCCTCTCACCCACTCTCATACGCTCTCATTCCCTCTCACCCACTCTCATACGCTCTCATTCCCTCTCACCCACTCTCATACGCTCTCATTCCCTCTCACCCACTCTCATACGCTCTCATTCCCTCTCACCCACTCTCATACGCTCTCATTCCCTCTCACCCACTCTCATACGCTCTCATTCCTCTCACCACTCTCATACGCTCTCATTCCCTCTCACCCACTCTCATACGCTCTCATTCCCTCTCACCCACTCTCATACGCTCTCATTCCCTCTCACCCACTCTCATACGCTCTCATTCCCTCTCACCCACTCTCATACGCTCTCATTCCCTCACACCACACTCATACGCTCTCATTCCCTCTCACCCACTCTCATACGCTCTCATTCCCTCTCACCCACTCTCATACGCTCTCATTCCCTCTCACCCACTCTCATACGCTCTCATTCCCTCTCACCCACTCATACGCTCTCATTCCTCTCACCCACTCTCATACGCTCTCATTCCCTCTCACCCACTCTCATACGCTCTCATTCCCTCTCACCCACTCTCATACGCTCTCATTCCCTCTCACCCACTCTCATACGCTCTCATTCCCTCTCACCCACTCTCATACGCTCTCATTCCCTCTCACCCACTCTCATACGCTCTCATTCCCTCTCACCCACTCTCATACGCTCTCATTCCCTCTCACCCACTCTCATACGCTCTCATTCCCTCTCACCCACTCTCATACGCTCTCATTCCCTCTCACCCACTCTCATACGCTCTCATTCCCTCTCACCCACTCTCATACGCTCTCATTCCCTCTCACCCACTCTCATACGCTCTCATTCCCTCTCACCCACTCTCATACGCTCTCATTCCCTCTCACCCACTCTCATACGCTCTCATTCCCTCTCACCCACTCTCATACGCTCTCATTCCCTCTCACCCACTCTCATACGCTCTCATTCCCTCTCACCCACTCTCATACGCTCTCATTCCCTCACCCACTCTCATACGCTCTCATTCCCTCTCACCCACTCTCATACGCTCTCATTCCCTCTCACCCACTCTCATACGCTCTCATTCCCTCTCACCCACTCTCATACGCTCTCATTCCCTCTCACCCACTCTCATACGCTCTCATTCCCTCTCACCCACTCTCATACGCTCTCATTCCCTCTCACCCACTCTCATACGCTCTCATTCCCTCTCACCCACTCTCATACGCTCTCATTCCCTCTCACCCACTCTCATACGCTCTCATTCCCTCTCACCCACTCTCATACGCTCTCATTCCCTCTCACCCACTCTCATACGCTCTCATTCCCTCTCACCCACTCTCATACGCTCTCATTCCCTCTCACCCACTCTCATACGCTCTCATTCCCTCTCACCCACTCTCATACGCTCTCATCCCTCTCACCCACTCTCATACGCTCTCATTCCCTCTCACCCACTCTCATACGCTCTCATTCCCTCTCACCCACTCTCATACGCTCTCATTCCCTCTCACCCACTCTCATACGCTCTCATTCCCTCTCACCCACTCTCATACGCTCTCATTCCCTCTCACCCACTCTCATACGCTCTCATTCCCTCTCACCCACTCTCATACGCTCTCATTCCCTCTCACCCACTCTCATACGCTCTCATTCCCTCTCACCCACTCATACGCTCTCATTCCCTCTCACCCACTCTCATACGCTCTCATTCCCTCTCACCCACTCTCATACGCTCTCATTCCCTCTCACCCACTCTCATACGCTCTCATTCCCTCTCACCCACTCTCATACGCTCTCATTCCCTCTCACCCACTCTCATACGCTCTCATTCCCTCTCACCCACTCTCATACGCTCTCATTCCCTCACCCACTCTCATACGCTCTCATTCCCTCTCACCCACTCTCATACGCTCTCATTCCCTCTCACCCACTCTCATACGCTCTCATTCCCTCTCACCCACTCTCATACGCTCTCATTCCCTCTCACCCACTCTCATACGCTCTCATTCCCTCTCACCCACTCTCATACGCTCTCA